CCACAGCTTGCTCCTTGGTGCTCTAAAAAGATCTGTTCAATCCCATCACTGAGTGCCCATATAAATACATGAACTTATTGCAATAGCCCAGAATCATCAGAGTTCAGAAAAAGCATGACTCTTAAAAATGAACAGTGGGACTGGGATATGGCTCAAAGGCAGAGCACTAGCCCAGCATGCACAAGGTCCTGGGTTCAAATCCTCAGCACCAAAATAAAAGGAAGATGAATGAGGTCATTGCAGCAGAGACCACATGTGCCCATCTTGTCGGAGCAATCATTTCTGCAAGCTGAAGAGCTGCAGACACCTGCCCCTCCCTGCAAGGACCATGACGACAGAGGGATATTTTCTGAAAGGCAAAAGAGCTATAGGGTTATGGGACTGCAGAACTGCCCTTAACCAATGATGGGAAGGAATGGTGGAAACCAGGGTGATCCTTACTCCCTGTCACAGTGGGGCACACTCTGTGGTCTCCCTCAGTGCCCTGTGGGCTGAGCTCCAGCTTCTTTGGCCCTGGAAACTCCCACGATAATCTGCCTTTGATTGGCCTGAGACAAGGGAGGAGTAAGCTTCAAACTCCTGATGGTGTTCTCACAGATTCCTTTTCAGCAGCCCCCACTCCTCTGGAAAGAACAGGACATGGAACAGATGTGTTCCAGAGCATAGGCAGCTGCCCAGGAAGACACAGACTGGGTGCAGTGCTAACTTCAAGCTATAGGATGGCAGTTAGGGAGTTTATGTGGCCTGGGACATGGCAGGTCAGGCACTAGCAAACTTCCCAGAACAGACAGGCAGTGATGGCCAGGCTTTGTAGCTTCTGTATGACTGCTTAACTCTACTGTCCTATTGCAAAAGCAGCCACAGACAGTTTGTAAACAAAGGGCTATACATTTTTTCTAATAAAACTTTATCTACAGAAACAAGTGGCGGGTCAGACTTGGCACTTGGGCCATACCTTGTGACTTGCCGGAAGTGATCAAAGAAACATAAGGGCACAAAAAGGAGCAGTAAGAGCTGAGAAAATGTCCACACTGCATCTTTCTGGACTTTCATTTTCTCCTCACAGCAACAGAGTGGTAACTGTTCTGTCACAGGCATCTTAAAGATGAGGGAGCTGCTGGTTCTGAAACATCAGCAAACTTCCAGGGCTACAGTCAGCTTTAAACCCATGTCTCTCTGACATCAACACTTCCCCTAGCAAGCTGTGACCATAGACACAGGCATCTGGTACAGCCCAGCAAGCTGAGGTCCCTACTCACCAGGACATTAAGCTCCAGTTTGGGGAGTAGGGATAGAACAAGTCAGAAGATTTTGTGAAAATCAGTATTTTCCCTGTCTTTTCTTAGTTTAGTGTGCATTCAGGTCACGTATCTAAAGCACATACCTACAAAAATGACCAAACCCATGATTATTCAATTTTCTGGCTCAAGGCAAACATATACTTGCTTTCCAACTATGCACTCAAACATTCTGAAATTAACCTTTAGATTATTGAATACCACAAGCAGGGTTTTTTTTTTTCCTGCACTGAACTTTCATGAAAGAAAATGAACCATTATCAGAAGTTTCTTCCAGAAATAACTTCCAGGGAAGTCATGAGGTCAGTTTGGATTCAATCCAATCTTCTCGCTGTCAGTGAGATGGTACAATGATAATTCAAGTTTTTAATAACAACTCTGAATCATCTCTACCCTGAATCATCAAAGATTAAATTATGCTCAATACATAGACAGTGTTATCTAAAGCAAGAAAATAGACTTACATATTTTAGAAAGAAGTTAGAGAAGACTAAACAACCACAAGCATTGAGCTCAACCTAGGACTATAGCACTGAATTTACCAGAACACCATTACTCTAAAATTTCCATTTTAATAGATACTATGGAAAAGTCTAATATAATCAAGGCCAGTTTAACTTATTCTTGTACTTAAGTAATTTTATGGGAGACAACATTGTAATTCAGGTGGATAAATGATTCAGTTTGGCTATAAAAAGCACAAACACAATCTTTGAAAACTTTGTTCATTGCTTTTTCTCACTGTAAAGTATTTGATTTTCAGCCAGAAAGCATACCGCCAAGCAAGACCCATTGTTTGCCTTCCTTAGTGGTCACTATAGACTGTTACTTGAGGAATTGAATAGTAGCCATAAATTCAGTGTAAAAATAACGAAATTTGGGGATTCTTAAGTCATCATCTATTTCAACATTGAGAGGCAAGTTTGACCTCTGACAACACTGACGTGGTCTTTCTCCTTGTTATAAAAATGGCTGCAGGGTTTCAAGGATCTCAGTTTTGAGTCCCACTGTCAGAATTTGCCAGCCCTTCCTTCTAACCCCCACCTGCTTGGGGGAAGCCATCTAGTTCAGAATAAGGAGCTAAGAGACCTCAACCCAGTCCTAAGCAGTGATTTGAAGTCATAAAAATAGCCTGAGTGGACAGCTTGTGAAACAGTTGCTCCAGAGCAAGCAAAAAATATAAGAATTCTCCGTTCCTCTCTGATTGGTCTTCCCTTCTGTCTGCAGCCTAAATTCACTGGTGATAGGAACTTGAACTCAGGCTTTGCATAACCTTCCCTATCTCTAGAACTTTCCTCAAGCTCCAAGGATTTGTGCAACAGAAGGAGAGCTGAAGGAGTAGAGGCCATGGTGCTCTCTGTCCATCTGCTGTCCACTCTGGCTTCCAAGATATCCCCATGCCCGTTGTCCTTAGTCTTCAGGCCACCAAGATCCTGCCTAAACCCCAGATCCTCATTGTCCTGACTACTAGAACTTCCTAGGTCATCTGTTCCCAATGTCACATCCTCACCAGTCAGCTCCCTCAGAATACTGTGCTACTACCTATCCTGTGCTGACGTTCAGGAGGCTGTAGAAAGGAGCCACCCCAAGAATATTAGCTGAGGTATCTCACAGAGCCACTTTAGTTATATGACTCACAGCCCCTGTCCTAGAATGACTTCTAGGCCTCTCTGACTTTGACTTTCCAAAAAGCAGGCCTCATCCTACTTCATGAACACAGCTCACAAAAAAGGGATGGGCTGCTCATGCCCAGCTCCACCTGCCACCTCAGAATTATAATCTCTTCTGTGGAGACACAGGCTTAGCAAGTGGTCTTCCAAATCTGTTGCTAAAGTATTAACCTCAGCTCTGCAACCCAAAAGAAAAGGTATTAACATGTGTTTCTTTACATATTTGTGCCCTGCTACCTATATCAGAGGCAGGAGCAGCAAAACATGTTATAAGGTACTATTTCCAAGTTGTATCTTTAGAAAGAACTGAAATCTAGATATCTCAAGGAAAATAAAGAAAAGAAGATTCAAATCTGAGAGGGTAGCAGAGACCAGATGCAGAATTAAACTTTACACATCAAGAAAGGAACCTGGGACCCATGTGAAGAGGAAGGAAATGGAGAAAGGAGATTCCTCCCCAAAGGCCTGGTATTGGGTGAAGACCTAGAGTCTTGAATAAAGATAGACTCAAGGGAAATGGCATGACCAAATTCCACTGCCAACCTTTGCATTTGTTCATTAAATAAGGACAGGTTGAAGTTGAGTAGCTTTCATGCAAAATACTCAGGACTGTAAGTGCTTTGGACTTGAGATTTCTTTCAGATTTGGGAATATCTGCATACACCTGAGAGTGTCTTGGGGGTGGGACCCAACTTTACACATGAAAGTGGTTTGTGTATCACATGTGTCTTGCACACTTAGGCAGAAAGTCATTTTATACAATATGTTAAGTGCACCTGCATTTGGACCATGACTTGTCTTACGGAGATAGGTATGGAATTTTCCCATTTAGTGTCACATCAACACTCAAAAAGTTTCTGATTTTAAAATTATAGGTTTCAGGTGGATGCTTGACCAGCACAACGGCTCTGATCATTGCAAATACTATTGACTAGCAGCCCTTTGTCATGCAACAAATCCACACAAAAATGAATGCAATTCATCAAGTTACTCTTAAATCATTATGCCAGTAATACACTATATTTGCAAACCAGAGCATGTCACGAACTGAAGTATCTTACCCCACAAGGGAGCACAGGACTGGTGAAACTGAGATATACCACAACTCATTGCGCCATGTATGCTGTGAACCAAGGAGCCATCTGGGTTCTTTACAGAAGAACCCAGAAAGAAAGAGGGCAGAAGAAGAGAGGAACTTCCAGAGAGCTGCCCAGCCCCCAGACCACAGGCAAGTGGAGGAATCAACGGAGAAGGAATGAACCCTTCAACAAGGGATGGAAGGTCACCTCCTGTCACTGGCACAAATAAAAGACCAACTAGAGACAAAACTGAAAAAAAAATAACAAGAAATCACTTAAGTGAGAACACAATTGATATACATGGGGAAAGACTCTCAATGGAAAAATTAGAAGTATAAAATTACAGTTTTACACTCCTGGCTGTCTACCACAGAGTGGAACGTACTGATTGTCAGGGTTTGCAACTGTGTATTTAGTGGTTTGATTCTATGTTTAGTGTCTGTTCCTCCAAGTAGGCTGTAAGTCACATGAGGAAAAGGACACCACTGTTGTCTTCTCCATCTTAGCAGTCTCTGACATACATAAGACTGTTCATATCTGTTGAGTGAATAAACCAAGTTAGTCACGGACGATGTTAGGGGCTCAGGGACGGTTTTGGCATCCTTAACAGAAAAGGAGACAGCCTTAGCCAGTCTCAAGTAGGAAGTGGGAGTGGGCCTTGCTCATAAGCACAAAGCCAAAGGCCACCTCAGCATAACATGAAAACTAGAAGCTCAGGGCTGCACGAAGAAAGCTCACCATAAACCCTGGGTTCTGGGTGAACTCAGTGCACCCACAAGGTAAACTGAGTCTAAAGACAAGATGAAGATGCAAGGGCCAGGGCAGGGCACTGACTCTGCCCTCTGTGGTCCTAAGGTCTCCAGCCCTCTAAGCACCAGACAGCATGTTCCCCAGCACTGTCCTTGGCTCTGCCTCTGGCTTTACTGACCTCATGCCTTTCCTGTGTTTTGCAGAATGCCGAAGCCAGTTACGACTTCAGCAGCAATGATCCCTACCCGTACCCTCGGTACACCGATGACTGGTTCAACAGGTGAGCCGGGCCGGGGCACGAGGCGTCAGGGTGCTGTGGTTCTCTTTTCTGCCATTTTTTTTAAAGCTTGACTATCACCCACAAAATCAGCCCAGTGCTTCACTGGTCATTATGATTTTCCTTCTTGGTGGCTACAATCTCTACACTCATGAGTTTTTTAAAAATATTACACTACTCAAGAATGGTCTTCTAACTGTTTTAGCTCTATTGAACTAGAAATTTATTTACTGCTTTGTTAAAGCTAAAAATAAAAATAAGAAATCCTTTCTCAAGGTACTATGGGGTGATTGATAATTTTTTAGATGCTGACTTTGCTTGATCCAGTGAAACTATTGCAGGGAAATTTTGTCCCGCAGGGACTCCGTTACGTTTTTGAAAAAGCATTTCTGCTATAAGGTTATAGCAGCTCAATTTCAACCAGAGCAAGTGTGGTCAGCAGGGGTTTGAAGGAATGCTTGCGATAAAGCTCCTACTATGTGAAAGGACTCAAATGTCCCACCTCTAGGCTCCACTTTTCTTTAACCTGCTTTGCTACTAAACATATAAATGTACTCTCTCATTTTTTCTTTTGGATACATAGTTAATTGCATATAAGAAATACAGAGAAATTAGGATGTGTGCTTAGCTCAGTGAAAGAACACTGTAATTTTTTAACTTGTCACATGGAGAGAGGTTGATCAATGGGTGGAAGTTAGAGTTAAGACAGGAAGGAAGGTGTCACTGCACGGTAGGGTGCCCACAGATAATGATGACTACTGAGTATCTCAAAATACTATGGGAAAGGATTTGTGAACATTTCCACTACAAACAAATGATTAAATGGTGGGAAGACAGGTACGTTTAACTTGACCTTACCCAGTGTATTCCTATGTTGAAGTATCACATGGTGGCCATTAATAAGTGATTGTGCTTTTATGCATCGATTTAAAATACATTTCACTTCATTTAAATAAGTAAATAAAATAAATGTAGTGTTTCCCTATGATCCATGCCCTTGGATGAAGTTCATGAACATCCAGAATTCAGTTTGCAGTATCCGTGGTTATTTTATCATAGCTGTTACTTCTCATGGCAGCCTAAGGGGTATATGAAACAAAAGCTACCCTTTCCAGTTTAGTGATAAGGAAATGTGCTTAGCAAGGTCAAATAGTTTCTTTGATCTAACAATTAGTACTCAAAACAAAGCCAACAGCTGACCCATGGTTAAATTGCTTCTAAATCTGAATTAGTACAAGACCTTGTGCTTGCCAGGCAGGCGCTGTGCCACTGAGCTAGATCCCTGGCCCTGCACTATTTTTTTGGTAAGTATCATTTTAATGTCTTATGCAAGCAGTGCAACCTCCCAGTGTACACAGGGAAGCTCCTTAGTAGATCCACAGCTTTAGACTTGGTTCTTACAGCATGGAGGTTGATCAAAGAACAACTATAGGAATGTGAATTCTAGGGTGTAGAAACGGTGCTTGCTTCAGCAGCACATGTTACTAGGGTGTGGAAACTGTAGAAAATGAGGAAAAGGATAAAGAAGTAAAATGCAAATCTGTAATACTCTTGAAGGATCATTGCTGATGCCCTGTAGCGTAATTACTCTGCCAACTTCATCTGCAGCCTGACAATCACCGTGCAGTGCCAGCAGCTGTGCGTCTAGAGGAGAAAACTGCATTAAAAAGGTCTGAGAACCGTGAGCAGGAGGTGCCACTTACTCACATGACTTCTGACACCAGAGCTTAGCACACTCTTAGCAAAGAAGCAGGGAAATGAAGCTGCAGAATAATGTCACTGAGCCATGTGCTGGACGTAATTGACAGTGGCAGTGAGGGACACCGTGTGCAGAGTGTCTGGTTTCACCTGAATTGATCACCATCCTTACCCATAGATATCGGAAAGGTCAGGTGCAATGCGTGAACCAACCAACTATCTCACTGTGGCTAATGGGCACTGAATTAATTTTTGATGGATTGATCCAAACTCAAAAATATAAGCCAAAGGAAATTTTCCTGAATCTCGTGTAGTAAATTCAAATAAGGCTCCTCCAACCAAATCTGCTTATATGCTTTGCTGCAAGAATGATCCTAAAAAACAAAAACACCAAGGAGCTGTCTTCTCCTGTCCATATTTTCTTTTGCAACTTGTTCTTGAAAGAACAATTTTAAACTGGCTGAAAACCTCTAATTAGAACCAATTAGTGTTTAGTGTAATAAAAATTCATTGCTGTCAGCAGTAAGCATTTCCCACTATCTGTTTATGGGAGACTCCCAGAGGGCATTATCTCCATGTCGTGGGAAGCCAACAACTCAAGACAGTGTGCACTTTGACCAGTAAATGAGTTTTCCCCAATTATCAACTCATTTTCAAAGATCCTTGCCCCACCATGGCTTGTTATTCAAAGATTGAGTATCATTCTTCCACCATCACCACCACCCCTATCCTGGGATTGAACCTGAGTCTCATGCATGCTAGGCAAGTACTCTACCCAGCATGCATTCCTTCTATTTTATTTTAAGACACGATGTCACTAAGATGTCCAGACAGGCCTTTAACTTGCAATCCTCCTACCTTCACCTCATAGGTAGCTGGATTATAGGTGTACACCACCATAACCAGCTACAATTATCACAGATTAGGTAGGCCTACCTAGCTCATGGCATGTCAAAATATAACTAATGTAACTGGTTATGGGAGGAGGATGGGTCAAAGTTCAAGCTTCTGCATGGGAAGAACGCTCAGTCCGAAGGTTGGCATCACCCTAGAGATTCTTGCTTGGTTTAATGAAAGCATCTTTCCCATGAGTCTAGAGTATGTTTGCCAAAAAGTTTCTCCAGGATTAAATGACACTATGTCTGGTATTTTCTTCAGTATTACTGATATCTTGAGGAAAGAAGTGAGAGAATGTGTTGGTGTGTGGAGAAAATAAAATTGGTCATGAGTTAATCATTGTTGAAGCTGGGAGATGAGTACATGGGAATTCACTCTATTTTCCTGTAAACTTAAAATGAATCGGGCAGAAAAAGAAGGCAATAAATAGACTTGGGACTTGAGTTTTGTCCATGTGACACTACTCAGTTTGGTGCCCAGGTGTCTACAGAGCTGGCCGAGTCCCAGGAGGAAGGCTGGGCCCAGGTGCCTCCAGGGTTAATGTGGCCAAACTCGTAGCAACACAAAAAGAACTAAGGTACTATGTGTGGCTCACTGTCTTCAAGCCACTGGGCTGAGTCGCTGTATGTGGAGATGAAATCAAAATACTTGGTGAATATTCACATTTTAAAAATTATTATGGTACAAGACACATTGCCATGAAGCCTCAAAATCCTCCCTCTCACTGCAAACACACCTGTCCATCTGGAAGTCCTTTTCACATGAGTGTCTTTATGACAGGTGATCAAAACACACTGAATGCTGCTGCCAGGTGCCATCCAATGCAAAGGTGGGCTCGAAAAAACATCACAGTGAGTCCTCATCTGCCTTCTTCATGGAACCTGGCACCATGTAACTTCCGGCTCCTCCTCTAAGTCAAAATGACCACAAAACATAAATGTTTTGAATCAGTTAAGACACTGAGGCAAGCCAGAACAGCACAACTAAAGACCCTCATGAAGGAGGACTTCCAGAGTTGCTGCAGAAAGTGGCATGGACAATGGGATGAGTGCATTCAAAGCAAGGGCCACTAATGGCAATGTATCCTTAACTGTAATGGTTTAATTTAAATATCTACCATATTTTCCTATCACATCTCACACTGATTCAATTAATTCTGAAAAAAAAACCTTCAAATTGTGTTCATTTTAGAAACCGAGGCACAGTTCTCAGGCAGCTGTGCAAGGTCACACCACTGCTGAGTGACAAAGGCAGCTTCCGGTGCCCAGTGTGAGAGTCACAGGTCCAAAATGTAAATGAGAGCAGTAGGTCAAGCTGGGCTGGCGGGCAAGTCTGTGCCAGGGTGAGTGTGCGCTTTAGGCAAAGATGGTGAAGAAGAAGATACAGGTATGCTCAGGAGGTGATCTGGGTAACTCCCCTGGCCATTAAAGGCTTGCACAGGGGGCTATGTCCTAAGAAAGGCCCACCTAAGAGAAAGGAGACTAAGACACTTCACAAGCAGGGGCATGATGAGAGCCTCCTGCACCGCGCTCCAGGAGCATCGCCTCCCCAAGTCCACGCTCAAGACCAGCACGGCCCTTGGCCCGCACAGAATCTACGACCAATGGCACAGGAGCCTCTGGAAACTACAAGGCCACAGAGCTTTGCCCGGGACCTACAGCATCCTCCTCTGGATATGGTACCATGTCTGGCCTCCAGACCCCGGGAAGGGCTGCCCACCACTGCCCAGGGAGGAGTCTGTTGCTACACACCACTCCAACGGTGCTGCCGGTGCTGCCGCACAGAAGTGTGCAGCCTGTGGGAGCAGCACCGCACCCCTCCTCCTGGGTGTCCCATGCTGAACCATCGTAACAGCGCCGCGGACTTCCTCCTCACCTGGTCTTCCTTCCGGTTGGCATTGTTTTAAGAACACATTTAAAACCCCAAGCCAAGGACTCTTCAGGAAAATAAGCTTGAGATGCCACAGACCCTCTCAGAGGGAGTGTGTACATCAGAACGGCCTGCCCTGGGTTTGATTCGATTTTGTGAGCTGGTTCCTTTTTCACAGAATCAATGTATTAATCCTGTGGTGAAGCATTTAATAATTACAGGCAGTATTTGAACTCTGGGGATATATTTGAAACACAGTCAAGAAATCTGCAAAGAGAGTATAATTTTCTCCTCATTTGAAATCAGAGAAATACATTTGACTAAACAAGATAATAACCCAAATTGCAAAAAAGTAAGAAATATTACACATTTAATGAGCATCAATAATGAGCAGAAGCAATATTATCGATTGGCTGTGAGGCATCGGGATCTGACATCACATCTTTTTGCTTGCTGGCATTCAGAAAATATTGATTGGCTGGTTGAAGGGGTGGCCCCACCTTTTCAGCTGTGCAGTGATGTTGAGTGGCCTTGACATC